TAAAAAGAAGCCACAATATTCCAAGTAGAAAGGCAGACACACACACATGCATGCACACCACTTTGTATCCACTTTTATTCTTGAAAAAAATCTTGGATACGCAGAACATTCCCTAGATCTATATAAGTATACCAGGTTTTTCTCCTCCTGTTTATATCAAAGTAACACTGCAGTTGAACCCTAAGAACCCATAAAGATATACTCACAAATGCTTTTACTTTAGGTGTTTGATCCTACAAGATTTGCAGCAGAGAATGCATCCCAGAGGCATCCTTTTGCATTTATCCCTTTTGCAGCTGGATCAAGGTAGGCGTGAATTGGCCTGTTTTAATAGCATTCACTTGAAATTGGGGGCGGGGCATGACGTGTCCAAAGGCATTGCTCTGCCATGGCTGTTTTGCTCTCCTTTACTTCATAGCCATGAAATCCCACTTGGTAAAGCTCCATCTCTTTCCTAGAAGAGAAAGTGTATTCATTATTTTACATCTCGTACTAAATAATAATCTAAGCTATTACATAGGCACTTCGTGGGAGATTTATTGTTTTATTCATACAGCATGAAGATAAGGCCAATGACGTGAAAAATACACACCCTCTTCAGTTTTAGTCCCACACAGCTGGAAGCCTTGCCTGTTAAGAGGGGTTCTGACAGACGAAGTATATAGGCCTCCTTTGTCAAGGAGCTTAGGCTGTATGTCACTAAACTGGAAGCTGCGATTTCATGGTGAACTAGAGTTGATCTGCAAAGGAAAATGTCTGGCAATCAGGGGGCTGAATAATAGGGAAAATGACTTGGCCTGACTATCCACAGAGGTCCCTTTGCAAATAGCAAACCAAACATTTTCACGATCTTCCTTCTTTTCCTTTCTCATTAGGAATTGCATCGGACAGCAATTTGCCATGAATGAGATGAAAATAGCTATTGCAATGACCCTGCTTCGCTTCGAAATCCTTCCAGATCCTGCAAATCTTCCTATTCCCATCCCCCAGATTGTCCTGAGGTCTGAGAATGGGATACATCCTTTCCTAAAGAAACTCAGATGATACTGGACAATTCTTCAGGAAACCTTTTCTTCTTGAGCTTATGTAAAGAAGTTGGCCCTCTCCAGTGGATCCACCTCTGCCCAGGGAGACCCAGCAAGAGACTACAGTCAATGTTTTTAGCTGCTGCGTCCCACACTGAGCTGAATGTGTTCACAATGGGTGGGTTTTGCTCAAAGACATACATCTAAGCAACAGTTTTGCTAAAGGGTGGCCCATTGCAGAATGAAACTAAAGAATAAAAAGGGTAAAAGTTTAGTAACAGAACTATCAGAAGCACAGGGCTACCAATCAAACCATAAAGGCTTAAACAAGAAATGCTAAGTCAGACCGCACAGTTTAGTGAAAAACCCAGTACACCAAGCAAATACACAATCATGTATCAATAAACACTTATTTGATATGAAAATGTATCTTGTAAAACATTACACTCCCTTAGTACAAAAATGAAATATCAGTTATTTTGGATTAAACATGGCATAGTCCCAATGGCCTTCTGTAACAATTCTAATGTGCATGAGATAATCTGTCCTATTCCTTGATGGCCCTTTCATCAGAGCAGGCAAGAGATGAAAGAACTCAGCATACCTGAGAAGGATAACTGTACATGGTTGGGGAAGGTGCAATCTTTCACATTGCTTGTCCTACTAAAACTGTAGTAGAAAATGCTCTCTCGGGGGCTGTTGTGACATCGGCAGCCAGAGTTCCAGTCCTTCTTTCTACTTTCTTTCCCACTGGCATGTCTAAAAATGCTAAGCCCCACCTGCCAGCACTGGCCAGATGGTGCTGCTGCTTAATAGTGTTGGGGAAATCCAAAAAAATCTTCATAGAGGAAGGTTGCGTATATGTGTTTTTCTGCTATAAAAACAAATCTGTGTGTACCTGATTACTCTTGGAAACAGTAGCAATACCTCTGCCTGCCTAATTTGTAGAGCTCCCAGCTGGGGCCCATTTCTTCTGCCTGTATTCAGACAGAGCATATAGCAGAAAGGTAAGCCATCTCTTCCTCTCCCTTTCATTTTCTTCTTCTTTAAAGCCTGTTGCCTATTAGAATAACTAATTCTCCTCCCCTCCTCCTCCTCCTAGAAAGTGAAAGTAGAGCAGACTTGTGGGAAAAAGTG